ACAAGCATGGCGCGCCCCAGGATCTACCAGCACGTGCGGGATCACTGCATGCCTACATGGGGTCGCTCTACATTGGCCCGCAGGTCTCAGCATGGACGGTCCCATTGTAGTGAACGCTGCTACACCGTGATCGCGCCGTACCAGCAGAGGTCCTTCAGAGAGCGCGGAGCCATCAAATCAAGACGTTGCATCGGTCAAGCTCCCCCTGGCGGCACGCGTCGGGCCCCGCTGGGACCGCCCTCGCGCCTCGGGGCCTTCAGTGGGGCTCTACGGCCGGACAGGACTGATCTCGGGGTTCCTCTTGATTTCACTAAAGAGGCGCCCTCCATAACTGTTCGCAGATGGCTCGCGAAGCCGCTGTTCGCCGCCTTTGGGAGCCATGGGCTAGGAGGCCTGCCCTTCCTTTGGATAAGGACATAGCTAAGGGCCCATTGTGTATTGGATGGGGCTCATCACCCGCCCCCTTGCCCGCGCGCCCGCCCCGGATGAGCACCAATACCCCGCGGACTCTGACGGGGCTCCTCCTGAGCCCCCTGAAGGTCCAGGCGCTGGCCTGCGCAGCCGGTGGGCTCCTAGTTGCAAGGAGGCTGGGATGTTACGTGGCATAGTGGGGGAATGCTCGTGGACTCCAGGTCGCCCGGCCAAATGCGGGCATCGCGACAGCGCGCACTGCCCCCACCGTCAGCAGGATGCGCGCGACGTCTGCCACGCTGCGTGGAGATGTCCGTCTCCCGACGCTGCGAGGCGACAGCACCTGCGGGGCATTGATTCTCGCGGGCTTCTTCCATGCCGGCCCGATTCCTTCTTCTGGTCTTGTGGACTGATTGGGAGATCGCGCGCCCCGCCGCTGCCGGCACGAAATGATCGAGCGCAGTGGGCGACGCGGAGACCCCCAGGGCATCGCGGGGCAAGTGCACACTGATGGGGCCTGTCGGAAGGTGTGGCAGTGGCCTGAGTCATCGCGCGCGGGCATGAGTTTTGCCCACATGGAGAGCCCACATTTTGGTTTATGGGGCCGTGCCTGGGCCCGTGCAGTCCTCGCCCAGAGCCGAACTTGTCGTTTCCCCCCAGGTCCTTCAGGTGTGCGTCCTGCCCCATGTTGCCTGTGCCGATTTCGAGGGCCTGCGTGATGGCCCCGATCTGGGGCCCGCCTGGCGCCTGTCTCCGAGGCGCCTCAATGTTGACCTCTGGGAGCAGACCTGGGCAGCAAACATATGTGACCTTGGGGGACTTGAGCGTGGTCTTTCGGCGCAGCTGGTCAGGGCTCATCGAAAGCGTACACCCCTCGATGCCACTGGCAACCGATGGGCAGACCTGGCCGCTAGGAACGGCCGCGATGTACATCTGGTCCCACTGTGTCACCGCCAGGCCATGTCCATTGCCCTGCGTAAAAGTACTTTGAAGGTTTTGGAGTGGACTGCTAAGACAGCCCAGCTTGTCGTCGGTAGGTCCAGGGTTGACACCAGACCCAGGCCAAGGCCAGGCGGCCACCTGTGGCCACGTTCCCCGATAAGGCCTCGCAAGAGGCTGCGGAACTGCGACATGTGGTTTCTCCCATGAGAGGCACAACTTTTTGGCGCTGCAATGTTTGCAAGAAGGGCTCAAGGACTGGGAAGCCCGTCGTCGCCTCCCCTCGCTCACTTGCCCCGCTCGCTTGCTTGCCTCCGCCGCCCCCCCTGGTAGGTCACCAGGCCCAGGAGTCGGACCTGGGAGGTTGCCGTTTGTCAGCGGCGGCGACTGGCCACCCGCCAGCGGACGGCATCCACGCTGCCCTGCGGGTCCGGCGGCGCCAGGGCCTGGCACAGCTGAAGGCGCGGAGGGGCAGTTGATTGCTCGTTCGCTGGAGGATGGCGGCGCTGGGGAGAAGAGCGCGCCTGCTCCCCACCAGGGGCAGAGCGACGGCGCGGGCCCGCGTGGGGATCCATGGCCCTGGCGGAGTCCTTGGTCCCGACTCCCTGGACCCCGCTTCCTCGGACTCGGGGGGGTCCTTGTGGGTTCGGTCGACTCGCCGCCGTGTCCCTTTCGAGCCCATAGTCCAAGTTCGAGCGGCAGGCGCCTCCGAGCTGAATGCTGCGGTGGCCGCCTTCAACGCACCTGAAAGGTCTGGCCCCGCTTTCGTGCCTGCCAAGCGCAGGCGTGCTGATGAATCCTTTCGCGAGAACAGACTTCGCACGAGCGCCTGCCAAGCCCCTTTTTGCCTTCGGGATCGTGCTTGCGAATGCCTCAAAGGGCCATCGATTGTGAGCCTCCTCGGGGCATTGTGTTCTGTGTTTCCTGCGGTTTGTCCTCCACGGGCACCGCGGGACATCTTCTGGTGGATTGTGCATCCAAGGAGCGAGCCTCGGAGCGAGCCACTGGGAATCGGAAGCTGTTTAAGGGGGGCGGCACCCAGAGGACGAGGGCCGCCCTGACGGGCGGACGGTACATGGTCCTCGCCCCTTCCGTGCTTCCGACCCTGAGGTCTCATGGGTTCGGCTCCTCGCGGAGCTTGCTGCTAATGGTGCCACACGAGAGAGGAGCACCCATCCGAAGCGCTCCCCGTGGTGCACACTTTTCCTGAATGCCACCACCCACACACAGCTTGCATCCTCGCTCGCGGCTCTGGCCGTGACCTTCGGTGGGTCGGGCTGCGTTCACGGCGGGGGGGGGGCCATTGAGCCGGGCCTCCCGTCCTGGGGTGGGCGTCTGGCGCACTGCGCGACGACCTCCCCAAAAGCGTCGTCTCCTCCTCCTCCTCCTCCTCCTCCTCCGCTGCCCTCTCCTCCTCCTCCTCCTCCTCCTCCTCCTCCTCCGCCCCTCCCCTCCTCCTCCTCCTCCTCCTCCTCCTCCTCCTCCTCCTCCTCCTCCTCCTCCTCCTCCCCTCTGAGCGTCGTATTCTCCTCCTCAACCTCCCCCCTCCTCCTCGTCCTCTCCTCCTCCTCTCCCTCCGCCTCCTCCTCCTCCTACCTCTCCTCCTTCTCCTCCCTCCTCTCACCCCTACCTCTGCCCTCCGCTCAAGAAAGCCGCCACAGGCTCTTTCAGCATCTGTCCTCCTTTCGCCTCGATTCCTGACCAGCATGCGGTGATGGGTCCTCGTTTCGAGAGGACCGCGCCTCGCGTCCCACCTCCTTCCTCCCGCCTCCTCCCTCATCCCATCCCTGCCTCGGCCCTCCGTGTGTCAACCATTGTGGTACACCCCCCACACACTTCGTAGCCTCATAGGGAACTCCACCTAAGGCCCCAGTGGCACAGTTCGCGCGTGGGCGTCACCCCCTTTTCGGCACACCCCTCACGCGCTTCGTGGCCCCACGCGGAGTTCCACCTAAGGCCCCAGTGGCACAATTCGCATGTGGGCGTCGCCCTCGCGTCGGCACCCCGCTCACATGTTTTGTGGGCCTCATCCCCGTTTCGGCACCCCACTTACACGTTTCGTTGCCACAGGGAGCTCCACCCAAGGCCACAGTGGCACGTGCCGCATGTGGGCGTCCCCCCCTTTTCGGCACACCCCTTCACACGCTTCGTTGCCACATAGGGAGCTCCAACCAAGGCCACAGTGGCACAGTTCGCATGTGGGCGTCCCCCACTTTTCGGCACACCCCTCACACGTTTCGTGCGCCCCATAGGGAGCTTCAGCTAAGGTCCCAGTGGCGCAGTTCGCACGTGGGCGTCACTCCTGTGTCGGCGCACACCCCACACGCGTCGTGGCGCCATAGGGAGCTCCACCCAAAGCGTCACTCCTCTTTCGACACACCCCTCACATGTTTCGTCGCTGCATAGGGAGCTCCACCCAAGGCCACAGTGGCACAGTTTGCATGTGGGCGTCACCCCTTTTCCGGCACATCCCTCGCACGTTTCGTGTGCCCCACCAGGAGCTCCAGCTCAGGTTCATGTGGCGCAGGTCGCATGTGGGCGTCACCCCCCCCCTTTCGGCACACCCCTCACACGTGTCGTGGCCCCATAGGGAGCGCCACCCAAGGCCCCAGTGGCGCAGTTCGCATGTGGGCATCACCCCGGCGTCGGCACACCCCACGCGCTTCGTGGCCCCAAAGGGAGCTCCACCTAAGGCCCCAGTGGCACAGTTCGCATGCCGAAGGTGGTGGTCATGTTTGTTGAATGTTATTGTGCATCCTGGGGAGGGTACCCTCGGATGTTCTGTGTGTTTTGAAAGACGGAGGGTCACGTGTTCGTGTTCTTGAGGGATGCTCCTGTGGCCTAGGTTCGACTCTACAGGAAAACAGGTCAGAAACAGTGTGGTGCGAGCGATTGTCGGACGGGGCTAGGACGAGGATAAATCCATTCAAGAGCATTCCGGAACCCTCTCAGAGCGTTCCGGAACGTTCTGAGAAGACCGCGGCGCCCGAAGCATCTTCCAGATCCGCGGGATCTCAGAGATTCTCGATGTCTTATCACCCTGGTTTTATCCTCGTCCCGGTTTTGTCTCAGATTGGGTAAAGGAGAAGTCATTGCTCACGCACACGCGCACACAGAGCATTGGTCCCCCAGAGGCGGAGGCCCTGGCCAGAGGGCGGCATGCCATCTCTGATCGGGCAGCATGTCCCTCAAAAAGATGCGCAGTTGCTGATGATTCAGACTCGAGTGGGGGATCGACTGCAGAACTGCTGTACCCCCGATTGGACTTCCTCGTCGAATCTACGAAACATACGCGGAATGATCTACAAGCGTTCTACGTATCTTCGTGCATCCGACGAGAGAATCGATTGTGGGGTCGATCAATTCTGTAGTCGATACCCTACTCGAGTCTCTTCAAAGTTGCGCAGCTGCTGATGGTAGAAAAGTCCACCGCCCACCAAACCACCCGAACCCCACCCGAAGGACCCGACGTGCCCTCCTTTCCCAGTGTGGGGGGGCCTCGAGGGGTTATGAAACAAACCCAGACAGAACCCGTACCCTCTCCCAACCCGAAATTCGGGTCGTCGGGTTGGGTTGGAGTCGTCTGGTAGGTATTCAAAAATGCAGATGTTGCGAATGCCCATGACCAGAGTACGCACGGTGGTGTTGAGGCCAAGGCGGCCAAGGGCGTCAGCAAAGGCTTGTACGCGGCTGGGGACGAGGCGAGTGGCGCGTTCATCCGCCATTATGTAGAACATGTTGTTTGTGGTAGTACGCCAGAGGTACATTGAAGTTCTGAGCTGTCAATACATGGGGGGACCCGTTACGTTACGTTAGGGTCCGATCGAACAGCGTTCGGCCGCCATGCGGTGCACGGACAGAAGCTCGAAAATTGTACGTTCAGGCATCGTTGCAAGAAAGAATGGAAGAGGAGGAGAAGGAGGAAGCTCAACGAAGCATTGGGAACCCATGCCAAGAAACGTCAATGGACGTCCTGGGGTCTCAGGGTTGGATTTCTTGTGGATGATTTCTTGTTGTCGAGCCCCTACTATATGTCACATGGTGACCGTTGATGGTTGTGAGTGTGGGTTTCGTGTCGACGTAATGTGATACATCATTAGAGCATTCGTTGTGCTGGTCACAGGTGTGATACCGTTTTTTTTGCCTGGCGGCATGCCCAGTTGCTCGCAGACACCCGGCTGTCCGCGAGCTCTTGGCGGCGATTGGGCGGGTGCTTGACGCTGCTCGTTGATTGAAATGCGACCTGCAGTCTTAGCGCGCACGTGTCGGACGAAGTGCCCTGAGTACGCACGCCGCGTGTGCAAATAGCTTTGCTATACTTTCTACGGCGTAGCGGGCCTTGTCGCCGAATGCAACGATTCGAATGGTTTGGTTACGCGCGACCTCCAGGATTCGAGCCGTTTCAGTGAGCTCGTCTCATCATCTTTCTCGCCCTGTATTTGTTCCACCTCCTCCGCGTCCCCCCTTCTTGCAACTCCTCATGCACCTCCACTTTCTCCTTCACACTCCCTCCTCATGTACCCCCCCCTGGCCCCTTAGCATTCCTACCTCACCTTCATCCCACCTCCCTTACACTTCGTCCTTATTGTTCACTTATCCACAGAGGATTTCTCCTCATGCACTACCAGTTTCTCGTCTCCCATGCTGTATTTCTCCTCCTAGTCGGCCATGTTCGGTTAGCTTCCACTTTCCATATGTTCGTACATAACTCCCCGGGCATCCCAATACTGCTGATACCCCCATCCTCCCTGACCATTCTCCATCACCCCCTCCCCCCTCATAATGTTCCTTCTTTCTCCACGCCCCCCATCATTTCCGTCCCTCCTCGTCCATCCTTCCACATCCACGCTCTCTCATCCATCCTCCTCCTGCCCTCCTCCATCCGCCCCCCTCGTCAAACCCCACATCCGAAGCACGTGGGGTTGTTGCTATTAGTGGGACCCCAACGCCTCACTCCTCATCGTCTCGACCTCTCCCTCGACCCGATCACGCTCAGAGTCAAAACTTTGACCCTCTGATGCTCCGACACACTCACGCTGAGATTCACTCCCGCTCACCCACACTCGCATTTGTTCAGGCGCACATCCACCCGAGCTCAGACCCTCACTCTGAGACTCACTCCCGCCCAGGCTCGCTCATACTCCGCTCACCCCATACCCAGATTCATGCATAGTCAGAATACGCAGACTCAGACTCACTCAAATTTCGACTCGCTCGCTATTTGACTCGTACAAAGGGGCACTCGGAACACGGCACGCTCGTATACAAGTTCGCTTGCGCGAATCGCGATGTGAAAGGCATGGCATTTGGGCATCCTGCGGGAGAGCCGACCAGGAGTGTCTCACGGGCACGTTCGCGTCCGGATTGTGTGGCCCTCGCAGAGAAGATGGCCGTGTGGGGCCCACGATCCTCGCGTTCTGGCAGGCATGGCAGTTGGGCCACCCGAGGTGGAGCCGACCAGAGGTGTATCACGGACCCGCTCGCGCCCATATTGCATGGAATGGCCGTTTTGGTTGGGTAGCCGCTCCTCTTTTCAAAGCCATGTGGTTATCGCCGTGCAGCAGTTCTGACACGGGGGAGCCGATTAGAAATGTCTCGCAGGCCTGGTCGCGCCCAGGCAATAGAGACCTATCGAAGACGCCTACAGCGAATCACCGCCGCCCCCTGCCTTTTTGGAAGCGCCTATGTGGCCGAACGTTGAGGCCAGACCTGCCAAGCTATCGGACCACGTGTTCCCCGAATCGGTTTGGAAAGCCTTCGGGGAACACGTGGGCATCTTGAAGGTCATCTTGGCCGTCTTGGAGGCCTCTTGGGCAAGCTTTGGGCGATCTTTGGGGCTTTTTGGGCCGTCTCGGGCCAGCTTCGAGCCAACTTCGGCCATCTTGGTGGGTTCCTGGCACGTCTGAAGCCGTCGGAAGCCGTTTGGGGGGCCTCTATGGGCCGACTTGGGGCCCGCTTGGAATGCTCCAGGGCCGTCTTGGAGGCCATCTTGGGCGTCTGGGAGGCCATCTTGGGCGTGTTGGAGGCCTCTTGGGCCCTCTTGGGGCCCTCTAGGGGCCATCTTGGAGGCCACTTGGGCCATCATGGGGCTCTCTTGGGGGCCTCTTGGGCGATCTTGGGGGCTTCTTGGGCCGTCTTGAGCCGTCGGAGAGCCGAAAAGGCGCAAATGCCAAAATCCTTCAAAAACCAATGGAAAATCAATGATTTTGGCCTCTTCGGACTCTCCTGGAGGACCTCTTGGAGGCCTCTTGGGCCGTCTGGGAGGCCTCTGGGGGGCCTCTTGGGCCGTCTTGGGCCGTCTTGGACTCTCTTGGGCCGTTTTGGAGGCCGTCTTGGACCATCTCGGGCGGACTTGGAGGCCATCTTGGGCCATCTTCGCGATTTTTTGAGGATGTCCCGAGCGAAACGGCCGTTTTTGGGCATTGACAGACGCATTTTGGGGAAATTTACGGGTGGCCGGCGGGACGGGCCGAAGCCCACTGGGGAGTTCTTTTAGAAAAAGAACCAAAACCAAAACCTGAATCATCCAGCACGCCGTGCACCCCTGCAAGCAGGGGGCGGCGGATCGAATGGCCTTCGGCCCATCCCGCCACCGTGCCTGGGTTGTGAGTCAGAGTTCTCAGGGATGCTTCTTGTGGTCTCTTCGGAGCGCTCTCGGGGGCCTCTCGGGAGCAGTTTTGGGGCCTCTTGGGAGCCTCTCGGGGGTCTCTTGGGGGCCTCTTGGGGCCTCTTGCGGCCCCTTGGGGGCCTCTCGAGGGCCCCTCGGGGCCGAGGGCTCGAAATGTCCGTTCGGGCCCCCCCTCTGGGACCCCTCTTGGAGCCGTCTTTGGGCCCTCTTGGGCATTTTTTGGCGCATCTTGGGCCGTCTTGGGGCCCTTCTTGGCCGCCTTGGGGGCCTACGGGGCAGCCTTGGGGCGATCTTGGGGGTATCTAGGGTCGTCTTGGAGCGTCGGGAAGCCGAAACGGCCAGAAGGCCGAACTCCTTCAAAAACCCACCGCAAATCAATGGTGCCTCTTGAGGCCCTCCTAGGAGGCATCTTGGGGCGCATATGAGGCCTCTTGAGCCGTCTTGGGGTCATCTTGGGCATCTTGGGCCAGTCGTTCGGCGGCTCGGAGCCGTCTTGAGGGCCAGTTGAGGCCCTCTTGGCCCGTCCTGGGGCCCTCTTGTGTCCGGAAAAGTCACGCGAGAACCCGAGAGATTTGACAATTTCGGGTCCGGGCCCTTTGAGGACTTCTCAGGAGAGGGTTGGAGGATTCTGGAAAGGACCTAAGGACACGTCCAGTCCGTGCCCAGAGGCACCGTGGCGAATTAAGTAGAGTGACAGTTTTTGCGGGGTGCCCGCTTCTCTTGCCTGAGCCCTAACATAATCGCGATGTAGCGCGCATGGCACCTGGGCCTCGCAATGAGGGACCGACCAGGGGTGTAGCATGGGCCCATCTGCGCTCAGACTGCGAGGACATGCCAGGTCGAATGGCCGCGCTGGCGGAGTAGACGTGTCTCTTTTCAGAGCCCAACTACCATCGCCACGTAGCAGGCACGGTTCTTGGGCCTCCCGATGGGGAGCTGACCAGGGGTGTACCAAAGGCCCGTTCGCAAGCAGATTGCGCGGCTTCCTGGGCGTATCAAGTGCACGAGAGTCCAGAGTTATGCATATTCCCATCCAGTCACGTTCAATCCCACCCATACCCAGAGCCGCATTCAGCCACGCACAGGCTCCCTCGCACGCATACCCATTCACATCCAGGCGCTCATACGCAGACCCACTCGTACTCAGCAATCCGTACTTAGGTCCGCTCACACTCACACTCTCTGATACTCAGACACGCAGCATAATCTCATGCGCACATTGGCACTTCTGCGTCGAATTACTATCCATCCTCCTGGTTATCCTCCCCATCACTCTTCACTGATCGGCCTTCTCCCCATTTCCTCCCTCCCTCCTCCACCCTCCTGCGCTTCCGCCTCCTCCCCTTCTTCCTGCACCCTGTCCTGATCGCCCTCCCTGCCTCCTGGCCCTCCCTCCCTCGTTGTCGTCAACCGTTTTCCTGCACAGCCCCATCCTCCTCCTCCTCGTCCTCCTCCTCTTCCTCCCCCTCCCGTAGCCATTTTTGCTAAAGATACTTTGTTCCCCAGCGGGCACTGCGGATACCTGTGCTCTGAGGCTAGCTGCCCGCTCTTTTCGGGCTCATTGTGATCCTTCTCTTGACTCTATCGCCCAGACCCAAGACGCCAACCTGTCTGCCAAGGATGGTTTGATCGATTCGTGAGCTCCTTGAGCAGCACCCGACGGACCAAGTTGTTCTGGGGTCAATGACTAGGGAACGTCTCACTTCTTGGCGTCAGTTTCGCGGTGGTCAGGCCTCCTCCTCCCCCAAGCCTCTCCGCTCTCCTTCCCTCCCTCCCCTCTCAATCCCCTCTCCCTTCCCCCTCGTCGTTGGATTTGCTCCGTCTCTGGCATTGGCGCTTCGAGGCGACGCGTCCTGTCAGCTTCTTCGCTGGCGCTCTCTTACTGTGCTTGCTTATTTGGCGCTTGTCGTCTGGGCCTGGCTGGCGGCCCAACGGTTCCGTGCTCGTTGTCGCGCCTCGTCGCCACCCGTCGTTTGACTTTGGCTGGCGGTCTGGCGGCTCCGTGCTCGCCATTGCTGCCCCGTCGCCGCTTAGATTGTACAACCAAGATTGTTCCACATAGATTCTCCTTTC